GTCAACCGCTCCGTCCTGGGGCCCAGGATGACCCTGGCCAGGCACGGGGCTGGTGCCCTTTTCTGCGGAGGCAGGACGCACGCCGCGCGAGGACGCCAGGGCCCTTAGCTCTCTGCTTCCCCATCGCCCAGCTCTAGACAAGCGCGTTCCACTACTCGTAAGGCCACTACTCGCAAATGGCCTGCATCCGCCGCGGGGGATTCGCAATATGTTACATCTAGGCAAACGCATGTTATTGTTCCTGACGTTTGCGAGAAGTCACTTTGCGAGTAGTGGAACGCGCTCGGTGAAGCTCTGAGACATTAAAAATAACGACACGGCTCTCAGTCTCAGTCCTCCAGACCACCGCTTCGGCCCGAGCTCAAGTGAAACCGTGCTGCGGCTCTGGCAGGTGGCGGGGTATCGGAGCCAGCGATGATCTCTGGCAGGAGGTAGCAGCCGAAGCAAAGGCACAACTCAAAATGGCGCACACAACAAAAGCGGACTGTGCAGAGCGGACCCTCCTCCACCGCGTCTGCCTCCGTGGAATACTTGGCCGGAGCAGTTCCAACGATGTCCTTCTTCTTGGCGTCCTTCTGCCTGCGGAGTCCAACTCAAGACAGGCGGGCAAGCACGTGGGAAAGAAAAATCAATGAAGACTAAAAGAGATATCAGACGATGTACACATCGAAATGAAGTAACACGGAGAGACGGGCCACAACGATTATGTAGACGGAAAGCAAGAAAACTCGGCACGCATTGCAATCGTGGTCGAACCCTGTTGGCGACGACTGGACACCGCCAGCACGACCCAAGGGCTAGGAACCCTGCACCCCCCTGCAAGAGAAATGCAACCACTTTTTCAATTTCTTGACCGCCCCCCCCCCCCCGACCCCCGATTTCTAAGCTGAGTCAGCCGCGGCCGACGGCAAACAAAATCGGATCGCGCGGCGACCCGCGCGAGCCTTGAAATTGCGGGCGCGGCCTCATCCTCCTCCTCCACCTCCTCCTTCTCCTCTTCCTCTTCCTCCTCCTCCTCATCCTCATCATCATCAGCCTCATCCTCATCCTCGTCATCCTCATCATCATCATCATCATCATCATCATCATCATCAACATCATCAACATAATCAGCATCATCATCATCATCACCATCATCATCATCATCATCATCATCATCATCATCATGATCATCATCATCATCATCATCATCAGCAGCATCATCAACATCATCATCATCATCATCATCATCAGCATCAGCATCAGCAGCAGAAGCAGAAGCAGAAGCAGAAGCAGAAGCAGCATCATCAGCGGCAGCATCAGCACCAGCATCAGCATCATCATCAGCAGCATCATCATTGGCAACAGCAGCAGCATCAGCATCAGCATCCGCATAAGCATCGGCATCATCATCAGCATCATCATAATCATCAGCATCATCAGCATCATCAGCATCATCATAATCCTCAGCATCAGCATCAGCAGCAGCAACAGCATCATCATCATCATCATCATCATCAGCAGCAGCAGCATCAACATCAACATCATCAGCATCAGCAGCAGCAGCAGCATCAGCATCAGCACCAGCACCAGCATCATCAGCATCGTCATCATCGACGTCGTCGTTGTCGTCATCATCATCATCATCAGCATCATCATCATCATCATCATCATCATCATCATCCTCATCATCATCATCATCATCATCATCATCATCATCATCATCTGCAGCGGCATCAGCACCAGCATCAGCATCAGCAGCAGCATCAGCATCAGCACCAGCATCAGCATCGTCACCACCATCAGCATCAGAATCACCATCAGCATCATCCTCCTCATCATAATCAGCAGCAGCACCATCACCATCATCATCATCATCAGCAGCAGCATCGTCCGCTGAACCATAATCATCATCAGCAGCATCCTCATCGGCATCAGCATCATCATCGTCATCATCATCAACAGCATCATCATCATAATCATCATCAACCGCATCAGCATCGTCATCATCATCAGCAGCATCGTCATCATCATCAGTATCATCAGCATCATCATCAGTTTCCGACGGCGTCAGACGGGCCAGGAGCCCACCAAGACGACCCAAATTGGAACAGCCTAGGCCCCCAAGAGGTCTCCCAAGACGGCCCAAGAGGCCTCCAAGAGGGCATCTAGGAAGGCCCGAAGAGGCCAAAATCATTGTAATGGTTTTGGCTGTTGAGGGATGGGGCAGTTGCTCGTTCTCAGCATCCCGACGGCCCCAGACGGCCCTAGAGCCCCGAAAGATCACCCAAGAGGCCTCCAGGATGGCCCCAGAACGGCCCAAGAGGCCCCCAATACCGCCCCAAAAGGGGCCCCAGACGGCCCAAGGCCTCCAAGACACCCAAGATAGCCATGGAGCACCTCAAGATAGTTTCAAGTCAAGTCGGCCCAGAGAGGCCCCAAGACGGCTTCCGACGGCGTCAAACGGGCCAGGAATGCCCTGAGACGGCGAACGAGGCCCCAAGAAGCCCTCAAAGGCCCCCAGGAGGCCCAAGGAGGCCCCCAAAATGCCTCCAAGAGGCTCCCAGGAGGCTCCCAGGAGGACCCAAGAGTGTCCCCAGAGGTTCCCAGGGTGCCCCCTCCTCCTCCTCCTCTTCCTCCTCCTCCTCCTCCTCCTCCTCCTCCTCCTCCTCCTGCTCCTGCTCATCATCATCCTCCTCCTCCGCCTCCTCTTCCTCCTCCTCCTCCTCCTCCTCCTCCTCCTCCTTCTCATCCTCCTCCTCCTCCTCCTCCTCCTTCTCATCCTCCTCATCCTCCTCATCCTCCTCATGTTTCCTCCTCCTCCTGCTCCCCCTCCTCCTCTCCTCCTCCTCCTCCTCGTTTCCTCCTCATCCCCCTCCTCCTCCTCATCGTTCCTCCTCCTCATCCTCCTCCTCTCCTCCTCCTCCCCCTCCTCTTCCTCCTCCTCCCCCTCCTCGCTCCTCATTATCATCCTCCTCCTGCTCATCCTCCTCCTCCTCCTCCTGCTCCTCCTCCTCCCATTACGTGACTAGTCGCAGTAGTGCTCTTAGTGCTGTAACATTGCTAGTATTTCCAAAAATGGGTAATCGTATGACGATCACGACTAGTATTACTAATATTGTGTTATTCCGGCTACGATTCAGGGGTTATTAAACTATGGTAGTGCCATGGTGATTGGTAACACTGTTAGTGTTAGTATTAGTTGTCATATTGCTCCGTTTTGGTTACTATGAATAATAGTGTTGGTCGTTTGCGTAGTATCATTGTTATGATTCGCCGTCGACGTTACATAATATTATATCGTCGCGTTGATGCTATTCGTAGTACTGTTATTCATGCAGTATGACCATTATCATGTGTGTTGAAAGTATGTATAATAGTATTCATCCTCGTCATGATCTTCATATTCCTCCTCTTCATAATTATCATCATCATCATCATCCTCATCATCAGCATCATCATCATAATCAGCGTTATCGTCATCATCACCATCACCAACATCATCATCATCATCATCATCATCATCATCATCATCATCATCATCATCATCATCATCATCATCGTCATCATCATCATCATCATCATCAGCATCGTCATCATCATCATCATCATCACCATCATCAGCATCATCAGCATCATCATCATCATCATCAGCAGCAGCATCATCATCATCATCCTGATCTGCCTCGCCATCCTCCCTCAAGTGTTCCCCGAAAGGTTTCCACAACGGTTGGGGGAACACATGGCAGGGCTCTTGCCACAACGCTCGGCCACATGGGCGATTTCAAAAGGCAGGGGGCGGCGGTGATTCGCCTTTGGCGTTTCCGATATTTACGCAAGTTGCTCCACTTCGATTCCCAGCCAGCTCCATGTCCGCCCCCCCTCCTTCCAGCACGTGGACAAAATATTCGAATCTTCGAATCCTCACACATGTGATAGGGGATGCTCATCATCCCCCTGCTCCCGAAACCAACGTTGATTGTAGCATGGGTGATAGCTTTGGGTTTCGAATATCTGTGTATACCCAAGCCTCCATCGACTGCGGCACCCTCCACATCGACTTACGGAGCCCAAGGGGGTATCTTTCGCCGCAGAGTTCGAACTTGTTGTCCATGTAATTACGGCCCCTCCCTCACATCTCGAACGCGCGAGCTGCAACCGAGGTACCTGCTGACGCCCTTGGTGAGCGAGCGCATGCCGCCCTCCTGCGACGGCCGTGGCATGTGCGACGGGCCCTGCAGTTATCCCGCTCTCTGTGCCCCGTTTCCGCACCCCTTCCCCCCATTATCCCTCATCCTCCATCCCATATACCCCCTGATTCCCTCGCCCCCCCGCCCTCCTCATCCCTCAGCCTCTAGCATCCATCCCTGATACCTCATCCCTCCGCCTCCTCCTCCTCCTCCTCCTCATCATCATCATCATCAGCATCATCCCCATTATCGTCACCATCACCATAATCACCCTCGTGGTCGCCGTACCCATCTGGATCCCCATCGTCATCACCATCAACACCTTCATCGTGTTCAGCACTGTCAGCATGCTAGTCATGATCCTAATCATCAACACCGTCCACCGAACCACCATCATAATCGGCATGACCTTTATTATCATCATGATCTTCATCATAGATCATGGTTGTCGTCATCTTGGTCGCCATCCCCAAAACCATCATCATTCACCAGCACCATCACCACCAGCACCACCACCACCACCATCATCGTCAACATCTACATCCCCACCACCACCACCACCATCTTCATCATCATCGTCATCGTCAGCAGCATATATGTAATATCCTTGCCTCGTACGTCCTCGGGCCCGTATTGCCTTGGCTGGAGTCGCTCTCCAGTCACCGGTGGACGTCACACCCGCGCGGCAGGGTGCAGGCACAACAGGGTGTGTCGGACAGTCGGGCAATCATTGTGGCTGCACCGCGAGGTTGCGGCTCCCCATCAAAGCCCAACAACGCGGTGTTTCTCAATTCCTGTATCCCTAATTTACACCACCGATGATCATCGCTATCCACATTCAGTACCGGCGTCGCTGCAACGACGGAGGTGGGGTTTCCACTACTGTCCACGAGGTGCGGTGCGCTAGTGGGTGAAGAACCACCTCTGCTGGCTGGGCTGCGTGTCCCTCGTACGCAGGCGGCATCGGCGCCAGGCAGTCAACGAGCTCGCCGCTTCCATCTGGTGCCACTGTGCGAGCAGCGTCGTGTGATCTATCTCGTGGTTTCCTGGTGCGCAGTCTCGTGCTCAAGTTGGCTACCAGCGCTGTGTGTCACAGTGTTGTGGTTCTTCGAGGTGCACACTATCGTGGGACACTTCATCAAGGAGCGCTTCACCAGGGAATGCTTCGCTGAACGCTTCAAAACGGGGTGCTTCATCGTGGCGTGCCTCGTCGAGGCATGCTTCAGCGTGGAGAATTTCGATGGGTGTGCTTCGCTGTCGGGCACGTGGTCAGGGGCATGCTGCATCGTGGCGTGTTCCATCGTGGCGTGCTTCACGCAGGCGTGCTTCCTCAGGGAGTGACGTATTTCACCGTGGAGTAGTACGTCCTGGAGGGCTCCCTCGAAGGCTTCATCGTGGAAGGCTTCCTCGTGGTTTTCATCAGGGTGGCGTGCTTCATGATGGAAGCGTACTTCACCAAGGCGGGCGTCCTGAGGGGTTTCTTTCGTTGTGGCAAGCTTCCTCGGAGAAGCGCGTTTCATGGTGGCTGGCTTTATCGCGGCGTGTCTCCCAGAAGCGTGTTTCACGGAGGCTTGCCTCCTGGCGGCGTGCTTCTCCGGGCGCGTCCGTACTTTATCGTAGCGGGCTTCATCGGGGAGGGTTTCATCGTGGGCTTCCTCGTCGTGGCGTGCTGGTACATCGTGGAAGGCTTCTTCGGGGGTGCTTCATTGTGGCAGTCTTCATCGGATGCATGCTTCACGAAGGCGTGCTCCATTGTGGCGTGCCTGAAAGAAACATGCTTCCCGGCGGCGTGCTTCGTGGAGGTGTGCTTCCCGGAATGCTTCACCAAGGAATGCTTCACCAAGGAGTGCTTCACCAAGAAGTCCTTCACCAAGGAGTGATTCGTCAAGGAGTGCTTCCCTGGGAGTGCTTACCAAGGAGTGCTTCGGCGTGGACTGCGTCATCGTGGAGTGGTTCATCGAAGGGAGTGTTTCGTGGAGTGATCCATCGTGGAGTGCTACATCGTGAAAAGCTTCACCGTCGTGGACGGCTTCATCGTGGAGTTCTTTACCCGGGGGTGTTGATTTGTTCGGTGGGCGCTTCAGCACTGAGGTGCTTAATCAGGCGTGCGTCATCGTGGCGTGCTTCATCGTGGCGCGCTTCCCGGAGGCGTGCTTCCCGGAGGCGTGGTTCAGCAAGTCCCTCCACGTCTGGATGATCACGTCCGTTGGGTCATCATCTCTGTAATATCCTTACCGCGCCACCGTCACAGTCGGCATGACCGTTATCATTATCATGATTCCCACCATCGACCCTCATCGTCGTCATCCCCATCGCGATCCCCAACACCATCATCACCATCACCATCACCACCACCACCATGACCAGCATCATCACCCTCACCACCACCATCATCACCATCATCAGCATCAGCATCGTCATCATTATCATCATTACCAGTATCCTCAGCATCATCACCACCATGATCATTATCATTATCACCACCATCAGCATCATCATCATCACCATCATCATCGTGATGACCATCATCATCTCCACCATCATCATCATCACCGTATGCATCCAATCCATCACCACCAACGTTATCTTTACTATCACAGCCATCGCTGACGCAATCGTCATCAGCATCGTCATCACCATCACCATCATCAGCAGCAGCATCAGCACTGTCCTCGTCTACAGCATGATCATCACCATCACCATCATCGCCATAGTCATCGTAACCCTCGCCATGATCACCAGAGAAATCCATAAATCGATCAATCGATCGTCTAGACAAAAAAAGGGTCGGGTCAGCATCCTCACCATACACGTCATCGTGGTCATGTTGGACATCATAATCATCCTCAGCGCCATCATCATGATCATCGTGATCGATACGAGTGCCATCACCACCACCCATCATCATCATCATCATCACCACCACCCATCATCACCACCATAACCATCATCGTCTGCGACAGCAGTACGCACACCATCATAATCATCCGCATCATCATCATAATCGTGACGATCACAATCCCGAACCTCAACACCACCGACAGCAGAATCATCAGCACCATCGTTGTCTTCGTCGGCGCCATCTTCATCGTCACCATCATTACCATCATCAGCAGAACCATCATCAGCAGCGTACTCGTCATTCTTGTTGTGATCCACACATGAATCAATCGACCAGCCAATGAAACAATCAATATAACCAGCACCACCATCAGCACCACCATCATCATCGACACGATCAGCATCACCAGCGTCATCACCATCGCCAACACCATCCGCATCATCATCATGAGTGACATGGTCGCCATCATCACCATCATCATCACCGTCATCCTCATCTTCATCTCCGTCGTCGTCGACGTCATCAGCAACAGCAGCCACACCCTCGATCTCATCCCCATCCCCATCGTCATCCCGATCCTCAACACCAAAACGAACATGACCCTTGTCATCATCGACGGCTCCGTCATCACCACCATCATCGCCACCATCATCATCGTCATCACAGTCATATACACCGTCATCATCCTCATCATGATCGTCATCAGCATCACCATCATCATCATCATCATCATCAGCATCATCATCATCATCATCATCATCATCAGCATCATCATCGTCATCGTCATCAGCATCATCATCTCGTCATCGGAGTCGTCACCCTCATCGTGATCGCAACATGACTGTACCAGCCAATCGATCGACAACATCACCATCATCAGCATGCTGATGATGATGATCAGCATCATCATCAACATCATCATCATCGTCATCACCATCGCCATCGTCATCTGCATCACCTTCATTGCCGCCATCCATCAACAGCATCAACAGTATCATCATCATCATCATCATCATCATCATCATCATCATCATCATCATCATCAACCCGATCACCTTCATCACCATCCACAGCAGCAGCATCCTCAGAATCAGCACCATCATCAGCACCTCCACCATCACCATCATCGCCAGCGTCATCCTCATCATCGTCGTCAACACCCTTACCACCAGCATCATAATCATCATCACCATCATCGTCATCCGCATCATCATCGGAATCATCATCATCATTATCGGCATCACCATCATCATCCTCACCAACATGTCATCATCATCAACATCATCAGCACCATCATCAGCAGCATCATCATCCGAATCGCCATCAACACCATGGTCGTCGCCAGCAGCATCGTTATCGCCATCATCATCCTCATCATCATCAGCATCACCAGCATCATCAGCATCATCAGCGTCAACATCATCATCCGAATCGCCAGCAGCATCAAAATCATCACCCGCAGCAGCAATACCGTCGTCACCAACATCATCAGCATAATCATCGTCGTCACCATCAACATCATCAGCAGCATCACCATCACCACCACAAGCATCAACATCATCATCAGCATAATCTCGCCGTCGTCATTCTCACTCTCGTCGTGATCTCCTCATGAATCAATCCACCAACCATTCAAACTCATCACTGTAATCAGCACGATGATGATCGTCACCAGCAGCAGTCATCAGCATCATCATCATCAGCGTCATCACCATTCCCCATCATCATCAGCATCATCATCATCAATGTCATCATCATCATCATCAACATCAGCATCGTCATCATCGTCATCAGAACCAGTATCATCCTCGCCCTCATCAGCCGCGCACATTCGATTTCAAAATTTGAAAGGGCTTCACGGATGGAGGGCGTTTCCTTTTCAAAATGTGGTTCTCGCCTTAGCGCAGCACACCGTCGTGCTTTAAAGTTGTAAGAGTTTGACGGATTCACATGATCAGCGTACCAGAAATGGCGTTTTGGAAGGATTCAGGACTATGACGGCGCAACAGTTACGTTGATTCGCGGTGTTCAAGTCCGAAGAACGACGGCGTCCTGGCACGATTCAGGACCGTCAAGACGCAACAGTCAAGTTGATCCGTGGCGTTGGAATCCCGAGAACGATGTTTTGGCATGCATCAGGGTCTTCGAACGCTTGTCTTCCAACGATGCAGCTCCCTCAGTGGAAATGAACCCTTGTAGGGGCCTATGAAGAGGGAGCTTGGGGGGGAGGGTTTATTCCAACATCGTTGATGACTCTTGTGTTTATTTACACTGGTCCTCCTCCTCCTCCTCCTTCTCCTCCTCCTCCTCCTCCCCCTCCTCCTCCTCTTCCTCCTCCTCCTCCTCCTCCTCCACCCTCTGCCCCAGGGCAAGGGCTGGTGCGCTGGTGCGCCACGCACGCGGCCCCCTGGGGAAATATAGCCCGCGCACTCTCGTCGTCATGTCTGCGACCTCGTTGCGGTGGCCAACCTGGTACTCCGCCAGGGCTCGTACGGTGCCGCGGGTCCCCTGCGGGGGGCTCATTGGAGGATCCGCGCCCACTCTTTCCGCGGTCACGGTCCCCCGCCGTGGCTTGCGAAGTCTGGGTTGTCGCCCGAGGGAGTGGTGCCCCTCGGGTGGGTGTTGTCGGAGCGGCACGGCCTGGGGAGGAGGCGTTGGCGCGGCTCGAAAAATGTCTGGGCGTCGCCAGGTGTGCGTCGCCCTGATGGGAGGGGCGCATGCAGTCTGCAGTCCGCGGCGAGCGAGGGGGGGAAAGAGAAGGAGAAGGCCTTCTCAGAAGGCGGCGAGACTTCACAGAAGCCCTCGCGCCTTCTGAGAAGTTGTTTGTTTTCGGGGAAGGCTTAGGAAACTACTCAGAAGGCTGGGGCATTTCCGAACCTCCTGAGAAGGCCTTCTCCTTCTCACTTTCGCCCCTCATTCGCCGCCGATGTGGGGTTGTGCGCTCTTTTTTCCTCCTTCTGTCTACAGGCTGCGATCGGTCTGCGGTCCAGGGCGGCGCCCAACACCCCTGGGGAGACTCGTTGCTTCTCCGCGTGCCAGGACTGTGCACTGCGGCGGGGGCTGTAACAATGTGCACGTTTGCCCTGAGTCGGCGTGTAGCGCGTTCTGGTCAGTTTCCTGCCTCTGGCACGCCCAGGAGCTGTACAGGAACCGAGTCTCGAACAGCCGTCTCTCATCTTAGTCTTTGTGGGGATGGCTCTTCGTTCGCGGTAAGGTGTGTCCGCAGGCACGGAGTGCCACACTTCGTTCTTCTGTCTATTATACTTGGTGCGCTGGAGCCCATCAGGGAAAGGTTCATGGTACACGATCCTCCGCCTCCTCCACCTTCCTAGCTCCATCCTCCGCCTCCTCCTCCCCCTCCCTCGAATGAAAAGGACGCGGAGGAGCGAGAAGCCAGGACGATACGGCAGGTTCGCGTCGTCGTGGCGACTTTGGCACTGGCTTCTGACACTGCGTGGATAGTTCAGCCCTGCACGATCGCATCTCTCCGGTAGCCCAGAACGTTCGAAGTCGGCCGATCATGCGCCACCAGCGGTGCTCAGCCTTGCAATAGGTCGGGAATGTCCTCCAACAGGCGGATTCTGGGCGGGCGAACACTCAAAAACACTCAAAAGTATTGAAACAAATAAAAAAAGATAAATATAATAATAATAATAATAATAATAATAGTAATAATAATAATTATAATAACTATTCCTCGACTATTCTCTGAATATTCCTCCTGAAGGGGGACAGGCCCGACTTAGGCCTTGCACGCCCGCCCTGGCGTCGCCGCAGCGCCGCCGCGGCGCGGGCCTCCGTGCACCCTGCGCGCACCGCTGCGTGCACGAAGGCCCGAGGCCGTCTCGGCCTGGCCTGCGGCACACGCTGCGTGGCCTCCCCTCCACGGGGGGCCAGGAGGGCCTGCACGGCATCCTGGAGGGGGTGGGGATGGAGGTCGAGGGACGGGAGCGGGGGGGCGGAGGGAGGGAGGGGAGCGTGGCGAAAGGCGGCGGGGGGGGGGGGACGAGAGGGGGGGAGCCCTCCTCCGCCCCCTTTCTTTATAGTCCCACTTGCCTTCTGGGCGCAGGTGGCGTAGCGCGTTTCCTCTTCCAGCGTTGGAACGTCCAAGAACGCCTCAGCGAGAAGGCGAAAATCGTTAACTGTCCTGAGGTTCTGGCCCACATGTGGCCTGCTGGGGGGCAGGGGGGGGAGGGCCCCTAACTAATGACCGCCCTTTGTTTGATCGATGGCCTCCCAGACAACCCCGAGATGGCCCGAAAAGCCCTCAAGAGAGCCCAAATGAGAAGCCCCCAGAAGCACCCAAGACGCTTCAAGATGCCCCACGAGAGCCAGCAACAGCCTCCCAAGACTCCCCAAGAGGCCTCGAAGGGGCCCTCAGGATACACCCCAAGAGACCCAAGCATTTAGCCAAGGGGCCTCTGGCCCACACAGGCCCCCGACCTCTCTCTACATGATGGCACGCTCCATCCGTTCAGGGCAGGTCCTCTGGGCATCGTGTCTGAATGGGCTGGTGGGAATCATGTCAGCTTGCGGGGGGCGCTCAATTAGAAAAATGGTTTCCCAGTTCGGGCGAATGGCGGGGGGGCGCCCGCCAAATTGAAACACACGGCGGCGGCGCCTGTGATTAGCGCCGCCGCCGCCCGGCTGCCAGCGAGAAGGCGACAGGAACAGCACGGACTTGGGTTTTTTTTTGGTTCGCGGCTCCAAGGCGAAGGACAAGGAGCGGGCTCAACGTCCGGGGCGCGGTACGATGTAAATTGGCCGCAGTGGCGTATGCACGTGCCAGGGACAAAATGTCCCTCATTGAGACGCATACGGCGTCGGCAGGTGACCGGCCCAGACATCCCAACAGGTGGGGACGCAGAGGCGCGGCGACCGGCAGAGGAATGGGGGGGAGAAGTGGCCCTTTCGGCGCCAAGCTCCAGCCGAACCACATTCGGAGGCGAGGCCAGGACGGACGGCGAGGCACTGTAGAGCTGCAGGCAGAACGAGGGTCCGAATGGCCAATGGCCAAGCGAAGCCAACGAGCGTGCACACAGAAACGGGCCGCCCAAGACCAACGGACTTGGGTTACGCGAAGCAAAAAGATTTGACTCCTCCCCATCGCACCCCCAGCAGTGCTGGTAGGAAGCGAGCGAGCGAGCCACCAATACGGAGCACCCTCCGGGCCTACTCAAGGCTAGACGGGCAAAGCCGTGGCCTCTCCCCCTCTCTCTCACTCTCACTCTCTATGTGCATGTACATACATACATACATACATACATACATACATACATACATACATACATACATACATACATACATACATACATACATACATACGTACATACGTACATACGTACATACGTACATACGTACATACGTACATACGTACATACGTACATACGTACATACGTACATACATACATACATACATACATACATACATACATACATACATAGGTACATAAATACATACATACATGCATACATACATACATACATGCATGCATGCATGCATGCATGCATGCATGCATACATACAGAAATACATACATACATACATACATACATACATACATACATACATGCATGCATGCATGCATGCATGCATGCATACATGCGTACATACATACGTACATACGTACATACATACGTACATACGTACATACGTACATACGTACATACGTACAAACGTACATACGTACATACGTAGGTACGTACGTACGTATATACATACATACCTACAGACATGCATACAAACAAACAAACATACATACATACATGCATACATACATTCATACATGCATTACATACATACATACAGACAGACAGACAGATAGACAGAAAAACAGACAGACAGACAGGCATACATACATACATGCATGCGGCCGTTCGTTCATACATACATACATACTCACTTACTTACATACTTACGTACACATATCTAGATACAGAAAAATGTATGCATATACTGTCGCGCGTGACGCATGCATGCGAGCTGCGAGGTTATTGAGCAATGCGTGACAGATGGAAGAGGAAAGACAGAGAATCCTTGTTATGGGCGTCCTCGTGTGTGAGTGGTGCTGCGCAATGATCGTTGGTGATTGTGATTTGCTTCAGCTGTTGGTTTAGTCGTTCTCGAGCCCCTGGTGATGACGTCTTGAGCTGTTTGCACCCACGTGGTATCCATTGGTTGTCCTTTTGCCCAGCCATCCGCTGGCAGGGCGGTCCGGTCATACGCCTCCTCATCCTCCTGATCGGGGGCCAACGGTCCCAGGGCTCTCCTCCAGCGACGACAGCCGCTTCTCCACGTAATCCTTGAACTCCTTGCCCAGGGTGGGCTCAACCTGCCGAGCGGCCGTAGGCGGCGCCCCGCTTCGGCCAACGCCCTCGGCCTGCTGCTGGTCCTCCTCCTCCTCCTCCTTCTCCTCCTCCTCCTCCGCCTGCTCCTCCTCATCCTCCTCATCTGCATCATCGTCGTCGTCATCCGACTCATCATCATCATCATCATCATCATCATCATCATCATCATCATCATCATCATCATCATCATCATCATCATCACCATCATCGTCATCATCAACAGCAGCAGCATCGTCGTCACATCATCAACAGCAGCAGCATCGTCGTCATCATCATCATCATCAACATCATCGTCGTCGTCCTCCGCGTCGTCTACATCATCGTCATCATCACCATCATCAACGCCATCGTCATCATCATCACATCCACCACCACCACCACCAGCAGCATCGTGATCATACGATTCATCATCTTCCTCCTCATCATCAGCAGCATCATCATCAGCAGCATCATCATCCTCATCATCAGCCTCCTCCATCCTCCTCGACTTCCTCCTCCTCGTCTTCCTCCACTTGCTCCTGCTCCTCGTTCACCTCATACCTCTCCTCCCTCCTCGTGCTACTCCTCCTCTTCCGCCTCCTCCTCCTCCCCCTCCTCGTCCTCCTCCTCGTCATCATCATCAGCACCAGCATCATCAGCATCATCATCAGCATCAGCATCATCATCAGCATCAGCATCATCAGCATCCACAGCAGCAGCAGCATCGTCGTCATCATCAATATCCTCGTTTTCCTCCTCCTCCTCCTCCTTCTCGGCGGGGGCCCTCAACGGCCTAAGACGGTCCAAAGACGGCCACAACCGACACTCCAGACGCGTCACGCTGAGACCCGTTTGTGATACTCTGTCCCCTCCCCTGCGTTTGGATCCTCCTCCTGCACCCCCCGCCCTCTAGGATGCGGTCTCCGTGTGCCCGAGGCGGTGGCAGTCAGTGTCTGTGCTGGGCATTGCCTGACGTGGTCGTAGACCGAGGATTCCGTATAAGATCCATACAGGAAATATGCATCCCTCCATCTGCCCCCGCCTCGGCCCCACCAGGCCACTTTCTGCCATTTCCTTCGCGCAGCCCACAGTCAATCTCATTTTCTGGCTGCCGGCCGACGCAGTCCGACAACATCCCGCCCAAGACAAACATCATCGCCCCTTTCCCTCCCCCCCTCCGCCCCTCCCTCCCTCGCTCCCCCGACCTCTCGCGGCGGAGTTGGGTCGCATGGGTCGGGTTCAGGCCAGGGGGGTGGGGACCCGCCCGAGACTGGCCAGAGCAGGCTGCGCGGCGGGGACGCCCCCAGGAGGGTCCAGCCCGCCCGCCGGCGCTTTCGCGTGGTCCCTCCCTTCCCCTCCCCCCTGAGGGGGGGATGCATCGACCTGGAATCGGCGATAAATCGCCGATAGATCGGCGATAGCCACACGATAGTGAGTCCGCACCTTCCTGGGCGGGTTGGGGCTATCGGGCCCCTGTCGGCGATCTATGGGCGATTGGGGGTCGATGCATCCCCCCCTATGCCTCTCCCCCCTATCGTTGCCCCGAGAGTCTCTCGTTGCCCCCGACCCCCTCCCTGCCCTCACGCCTCTCCCTCCCTCCCCCCGACCCCCGAACTGGATGCGCCGGGCCGTGGCCCCGTTGTCCCTGCCGCCCTTGCTGGGGGTCGGCGCCGCTGCCGCCCTCGCTTACGCTGCCGTCGCCGTCATCGTCGTCGTCGTCGTCGTCGTCCTCGTCGTCGTCGTCCTCGTCGTCGTCGTCGTGGTCGTCGTGGTCGTCGTGGTCGTCGTGGTCGTTGTGGGGGTCACAGCGCCGATCCGCGAAATCCGCATTGTCCTCTGGAAGAGCTCAGCTCTGCGAGCCCTCCCTTTCTTCCCTTCCAGCGCTGGCGGTCGGACTTCCAGAGCCGTCGCAGCAAGGTCGCTTCCGAACCCTCCCCGGGGCCGTGGCCCCTTTCGAAAATAAGCTGCGATCGAAGTTTCCGAATGCCAGCTACATGGGAGACCATCTACGTACTGCGTGTTCTTCCTCCTCCTCTTCATTTTTCTCCTCCTCCTCCTCCTCTTTCTCCTGCTCCTCCTGCTCCTCCTCCTCCTCCTCCTCCTCCTCCTCCTCCGCCTCCGCCTCCTCCTCCTCCTTTTCCCCCTCCTCCTCCTCCTCCTCCTCCTCCGCCTCCTCCTCCTCCTTCTCCTTCTCCTCCGCCTCCTCCTCCTTCTCCTCCTCCTTTTCCTCCTATGCCTCCTATTCCTCCTCTTCCTCCTCTTCTTATATTATTATGAGTTGTATTATCCTGATTATTATGACTCTTATTATACGTGTTATGTGTATGATTCGTCTTCTTCTTATTATTCATAATCGTATTCTTATTAGTATTAGAATTGTCATTAGTATTCGGCTTTCTTAATACTATTACTATTGTGATTATGATGATTAGTATGATTATTATTAATATTATTACTCTTATTATTAGTATAATTATTCTTAGTAGTATTATACTAATATTATTGTTAGTGTTATTAGTGTTGTTAGTATTACTATTCGTATGCTTATTACTTGTTTTGCCCTCATGATTCTTATTATTCTTCATCCTCCTCCTCCTCCTCATCCACCATTTCCTCCTCACCCTCGTCCGCCTCGCCAGCGGGGGGCCCAGCGGCCCAAGATGGCCCAAAGACGGTCGCAACAGACCCTCCAAACACCAAGAACACCCCAAACTGGCCCCAGAGAGCCCCGAGACGAGCCAAAATGAGAGGCCAAGAAAGGACGGAAAAAATGGAGGAACACGACAAAGGCGAGAACGATACCCCTGCACGACGCGAAAAAAATGTCACAGGCCACGGCTCTCCAAAGCCTCGGGACACGAGGTGGCACACATTCCGCCCTTGCCTCCTGTGCGCCCCTCGACGCGTCGCCCCAAAAAATGTTGGGCTGGCATTATGTTATTGCCATCGTACTTAGGGACCACATCCCAGAACGAATTTCGAGCACCCAGACAAGTGTCGGATGAGTGTCGAAACAGTGTCGGGCGAGCGTATCCCAGGGCCCGACACGTGAAAACCCTCGAGTTGTGGTACCTTTTCTGGTGCTCGAAATTATTTTTGGTGATCAAGCCTAAAGTAGGTTGGGACATCATAAGGCTGGCACGATGGCGGGACTTGCAGCAAGCAGGTGCATACATCAAAAGAAACGGAAACACAACACATACACACACACACACACTTAAGCTGGCGCGCAGAAGGACCTCAGGCGCGGTCGGCAGGTGGATGAGCCAATTGCGAACGAACTTGGTCGAACGCGCCATGATTAAAGACATCAGGCACGGCCATGCAGATTGGTGGTGAAAAACGGGAGGCACTGCAATGCCAAAGTGCAGCGGCCAACAAACCCGAGGAACATCAGCTCGACGCGGGTAGTTTGAAACGCAAGCAGCGCACTCTGGTGCTAATTGAAGCCTCACAGAGGCTGCAACGAAAAAGAACTGCAAGGCTGCCAGACCAGCCAAATTGGTGGCGGTGTGTACTCGCAAGGAACGACGCGACAGAGCAACGCCACCGCCCTTGCAGCGAGCAAATTACATAGTGAGTGACCATGCAAAAGGGTGTATATGGTCGGCGTGCAAAAAAACACACTCGGCCGAAACTGGCTTAGCCTTGAACGACAAAACAGAGCTGAACGCAGGCGACTGCGAGCAGCAGCCGCGAAACGCGGCCTCGCACTCGGGAAGAGGACACGCGCGAGCATGACCGAGCGAGCAATGCAAACGCCAGCGCTAAAACAAGAATCCCCAACCGCAACCTGGCCCGCGAAGGACTACCGGCGAGGCAGGCGAAAGAAAATACAAAAAGATGGGGCAACCAACAAGGCCCAAGACAGACTGTACACATCACCACAGGGGTCGCACCATTCGACCAAACGGCGACGAAAAGTCGACCAAACGGCGACGAAGACGAGCAAAGCGAACCCGCCAACAGAATACGCGAACGCTTAAACAAAAGGAGACAGACCCCCGCAGCGGTGACAACCCTGAAGGAGGAGAAGGAAGAGAGGGGGGAGGAAGCAGCAAGAGCAAAAGCATGACAGGAGCCAGGAGAGACGACGACACACACACACACACACACACACACACACACACACACACGAACACACGACACTCACACACACACACACATACACACACACTTTTGAACGATAGCGCCCTCGCGGGCGGCGACGAAGCGGAGCCAGTCGAAACGGCGGAGCGAACGCGCGCGGCTGGACCCTAAGCGACATCGCTTTGGATTATCGCACAAGCCGCCCACACACACATACACAAACACACACACACACACACACACAAATACATATATATATATATATATATATATATATATATACGATGTTCGGTCGTAGCGGCGCGGCGACTCGCCAGCGCGTCGGGCGCCCGCACTGCTGGATCTGCGCGCACACGCAGCGTCGCACAGAAACACGGGGACGGCCGGCCTATCACGGGGCAGTGGCTGGACGGCGGCGGCGCAGGCAGCGGGCAGCAGCTGCGGGGGCGGCGGGGCAGCGAGCGGGGCAGGGGCCGCGGGCGGCGGAGGCGGTGCGGGGCAGCTCTCACACACACACGCACACGTACATTTTTTTCTTGGGGGGGGGCGTCGCGGCACCGCGCGCGGCGACGGGGCGTAAAGAGCCGAGTGCATGCAGCGGAGCGCGCGCGTCTACGCCCGGCCGAACTCTCAGAGACCGCACAGGGTCCACATGAACACAGCACTGCGTGTCATAGAACATGACATCGTCGCATGGCACTACACACGAATGCAAGACATGGCAAAACAGTATGTTTTGCCATGTTCCCTTATCGGGTTCGTGTTCCCTTCCATCCGACGGTCCTGGTGACGACCAGCTGCCCCTGGGCGCCGAAAACTGCGGCAACAACCCCAGCAACGGATTCTGCGTGGATATCCGTCAGTGGAAAACCCCGAAACGGCGAGCGAAAAACGAAACGAATTTCACGTGGATGTTTTGTAGCCGTCATTCCTGGCAAAAAAAAGCGCGCGAAAGTCACTTCGAAATCCAGCTCGAGATTCTCCAGGACAATGCTGGCCCATCCAATTGTTTTCTGAGCGAAATCCGCTCTGCGATGTTGGCGCCATGATCCCTCGTTTTCCTCCCAGCTTGCAGCAAGCCGCACAGGGAGCGAAGTCATGCAGACGCTCTCCGTGCACCTCCGAAAGCCTTCTCCTACCCCCGCCGCAGGAGGAGCCGCGCGCCTGGTCTCCCAGGGCGTCGACGCGGCAGCACAGCGAGAGCTTCGCGGCGAGGACGCGCGAGATCTTGCCCTGGCCGCGCAGGTCAAGCGAGGAGGCCACTGAAGATACGATCGGCCACACTGCAGACAAGAGTATCCTCCGATGCGGCGGCCTGTGTCCAACAGTGGAAAATCATGTTAAGACTGTCATCTCTGCATGAATCAGAGTTAAACCACAACAACAACAACAACAACAACAACAACAACAACAACAACAACAACAACAACAACAACAACAACAACAACGACCAGCTTAAGACAAATTGCTCTTACTTGTTCGCGTGCCACGCAACACGTATATCCCAAACCCTCGATACCCGCCCTCTTTGTCTTTGACATTACCCCCTCGGGGTAGATCTTCCTACCTGCCGCGCACATTTAGCGCAACCCCTAAAACAAGGGAAGGGAGGACGGACAGGGGAAGAGAAGGATGGACCATGCGAGAGGGCCTCTCGGAGCAAATCGCGAGGAAGCATCGAGCGGGAGCCCTTGTCATCGCGGTTGCGTCCCCACTACTTTGACTGAGTTGCGAGGATGTCCACTGCGAGAGCGCTGTTCCTGAGTTCGGGAACCTCTCTGGCCAGGGCCTCCCAGATCGCGAGGAAATATCGAGCGGGAGCCTTGTCGTCGCGGCTGGGCATCCGCGAACTTGATCGAATTGCCAAGAAGTCTAATGCGAGAGCGCCGTTCCTGGGACCTCTGCGGGCTGGGGCCTCTGTGGGCACGCTTGGGGCCTCTGTGGGCTGCGTTGGGGAGCCTCAGTGGGCAGCGCGCTGGGGCCTCTGTGGGCGCGCTTGGAGCCTCTGCGGGCAAGGACATATGTGGGCGCCCGAGGGGCCTCTGTTGGCTGTGTCGGGGGGCTTCAGTGGGCAGCGCGCTGGGGCCTCTGCGGCCGCGCTTGGGGCCTGTGTGGGTTGGGGCCTCTGTAGGCTGCGTCGGGGGCCTCAGTGAACAGCGCGCCGTGGCCTCTGTGGGCGCGCTTGGGGCCTCTGAGGGCTAGGGCCTCTGTGGGTGCGTTTGGGGCCTCTGCGGGCTGCGCGGGGGCCTCAGTGGGCAGCGCGCGGGAGCCTCTGTGGGCGCGCTTGGGGCCTCTGCGGGCTGGGGCCTCTGTGGGCGCCCGTGGGGCCTCTGTGGGCTGCGTCGGGGGCCCTCAGTGGGCATCGCGGTGGAACCTCTGTAGGCGCGCTTGGGGCCTCTGTGGGCTGCGGCCTCTGTGGGCTGCGTCGGGGGCCTCAGTGGGCAGCGCGGGGGGGCCTCTGTGGGCGCGCTTGGGGCCTCTGCGGGCTAAGGCCTCTGTGGGCGCGTTTGGGGCCTCAGTGGGCTGCGTCGGGGGCCTCAGTGGGCAGCGCAGGGGGGCCTCTGTGGGCGCGGTTGGGGCCTCTGCGGGCTAAGGCCTCTGTGGGCGCGTTTGGGGCCTCAGTGGGCTGCGTCGGGGGCCTCAGTGGGCAGCGCGGGGGGGCCTCTGTGGGCGCGCTTGGGGCCTCTGCGGGCTAAGGCCTCTGTGGGCACGTTTGGGGCCTCAGTGGGCTGCGTCGGGGGCTTCAGTGGGCAGCGTGCGGGGCCTCTGTGGGCGCTCGGGGCCTCTGCGGGCAACGGCCTATGTGGGCGCGCTTCGGGCCTCTTTGGGCTGCGCTGGGGAGCCTCAGTGGGCAGCGCGCGGGGGCCTCTGTGGGCGCGCTAGGCGCCTCTGTGGGCTGGGGCCTCTGTGGGCTGCGTCGGGAGCCTCAGTGGGCGTCGCGCGGGGGCCTCTGTGGGCGTGCTTGGGGCCTCTGCGGGCTAAGGCCTCTGTGGGCGCGTTTGGGGCCTCTGTAAGCTATGTCGGAAGCCTCGATGGGCAGCGCGCGGGGGCCTCAGTGGGCGCGCTCGGGGCCTCTGTGGGCTGGGGCCTCTGTGGGCGCGCGCCGAGCCTCTGTGGGCGTTGTCGGGGGGCGCGGTGGAGATTTCGTGGGCGCGCTTCGGGCCTGTGGGCTGGGGCCTTGGGGGCAGCGCGCTGGGGCCTCTGTAGGCGCGCTTGGGGCCTCTGTGGGCGCGCTTGGGGCCTCTGTGGGCTGGGGCCTCTTGTGGGCGCGCTGGGACCTCTGTGGGCTGTGCCGGAGGGCTTCAGTGGGCAGCGTGCGGGGGCCTCGGCGCGCTTGGCGCCTCTGTAAGCAGGAGCCTCTGCGGTCGCGTGTGGGGCCTGTGTAGGAAGTCGGGGCCTCAGTGGGCAGCGCGCTGGGACCTCCGTGGGCACGCTCGGGGCCTCTGTGGGCTGTGTCGGGGGCCTCAGTGGGCAGCGCGCGGGAGCCTCTGTGGGCGCGCTTGGGGCCTCTGCGGGCTGGGGCCTCTGTGGGCGCGTTTGGGGCCTCTGTGGGCTGTGTCGGGGGCCTCAGTGGGCAGCGCGCGGGAGCCTCTGTGGGCGCGCTTGGGGCCTCTGCGGGCTGGTGCCTCTGTGGGCGCGCTTGGGACCTCTGTGGGCTGTGTTAGGGGGCCTCACTGGGCAGCGCGCGGGAGCCTCTGTGGGCGCGCTCGGGACCTCTGTGGGCTGGTGCCTGTGGGCTGTGTCGGGGGCCTCTGTGACACGGGGGGCCTCCGTGGGCAGCGCGTTGGGGCCTCCGTGGGCACGCTTGGGGCGGGGGTTTGGGCCTCTGTCGGCCGTGCCTGAAGGCCTCAGTGGGCAGCGCGCGGGGGCCTCTGTGGGCGCCTGGAGCCTCTGAGGGCTGGAGCCTCTGTGGGCCGTGTCGGGGGCCTCAGTGGGCAGCGCGCGGGGGCCTCTGTGGGCGCGCGTCCGGCCTCTGCGGGCAGCGCGGGGGAGCCTCTGTGGGCGCGCTTGGTGCCTATGTGGGCTGTGCCGGAAGGCCTGCGGGCAGCATGCTACGGTCCCTGTGGGCTTACTCTGGGCCTCAGTGGGTTGTGTATGGGGCCTCCGTGGGCAGCGCGCCAGGGCCTCGGTGGGCAAGGGCCTTTGCGAATACATCTTAACGAAATATCGAACGGGAGTCCTTGTCGTCGCATGTGGTGAGTCTCGAGCCAGAGCGCCGTTCCTGAGTTCAGGGGCCTTTCTGGCCAGGGGTTCTCGGAGTAAATCGTGAGGAAATATCGAGCAGGAGCATTTGTCGTCGTGGCTGGGCCCCCGCCAACTTGATTGAATTGCGAATAAGTTTCGAGCAAGAGCGCAGGCCTCTCTGGCCAGGGTGTCCCGAAGTAAATTTTGAGGAAGTATCGAGCGGGAGCCGTTGTTGGCGTAGCTGGGCCTCCAAGGGCGCACCTTTAGGGTCAAGCCAACGCTCGAGCGGGAGCCTCGCTTTCAGAGAAAATGTAGCCAGCGTCGAAGCGAGAGCGCCCGGAACCGTTTCCAGAGATCAATAATAATTATCCTCTAGACATGAATCTTCAACAACAACAACAACAACAACAACAACAACAACAACAACAACAACAACAACAACAGCAACAACAAGAAGACGAATAACAACAACAATAACAACAATGTTACCCTCATGCGCGATGATTCCACAAGAAGCATGCGACCATCACGATAACCATCCCCATCATGGGGGACTCTTGTTCTATAGCGGGGTCCGTTATTCCCATTCCCAGATCTCCCGCCCAATGAGTTATTGCAAACACTTCCTCCGAGGAATTTCAACATATCCCGCCTCGAAAACACATGCCCGCACCTTGCTGCGCCGATGTGAGACCGCCAGTGGCCCCCCAGCCAAGGGTAAAGCACAAGGAAGTATCGAGCGACAGGATTGCCTTGGTGGGGATGGGGGCTGTCGGCGGCGAGGCAAGGACCTGGCCCTGAATAGAAAGGGGGGAAGCCTCGAGCAGGGCCGCTGTTGTTGCTGGGATCGGCGCCAATGCTGAAGAGAATAAGGCGCTAGCCCAACGTAAAACAAAACGAATTCTCGAGCGGGAACACGGGTTTTGTTGGCGGCCGCTTTCGGCGGCGAGTAAGAAGGGAGGAAGCCTCAAGCGGGAGCCATGGTTTTGTCGGGACGGGGGCTGCCGGCGGCGAGGAACAGCACCGGCCTGAGGAGAAAGGGAGGTAGCCTCGAGCGGGAGCGTTGCTCTTGCTGGGAGCGGCGCCAATGCTGAAAAGAGTAAGGCGCGAGTCCAGCGCAAAACGGGAGGACGTATCGGGCGAGAACGCTGGTTTTGTCGGGACGGCTGCTTTCGGCGGCGAGCAAGAGCACCGCCTTGAGTAAAAAAAATAAAGTCTCGAGCGGGAGCGTTGTTGTTGCTGGGGGGCGACGCCGATGAGAGAAAGAGTAGCGCGCCTGTCCAAGGTAAAACGGGAGGAAGTCTCGAGCGGGAGCGCTGGTTTTGTTGAGACGGCTGCTTTCGGCGGCGGGCAAGAGCACCGGCCCTGAGTGAAAAGGGAGGAAATATCAAACGGGAGTGTTGTTGTTGTTGGGGTGCCGGTTTTGGCGGCCCCCCAAAGCGGTTGAGAGTGAGCCTCACTTTCAACGAAAATGCAGCCGGCGCCGAGGCAAGAGCGCCAGGGCGCCTGGTGGGCGCCTGGGGTAGCAACAACATTTACAACAACAGCAGCAACAGCAACAGCAGCAGCAACAGCAACAGCAACAACGCCACCAACAAAAACAACAACAACAACAACAACAACAACAACAACAACAACAACAACAACAAAACAACAACAACAATCACAACAACAACAACAACAACAACAACAACAACAACAACAACAACAACCACAACCACAACAACAACAACAACAACAACAACAACAACAACAATAATAACAACAACAAGTATTCTAAGATTGTTCGCTCTTACATGCCCGCGTGTTATTCAAAACGAGTTCCTCACACCCTCGATACCCGCCATTTTTGTCTTCGATCACACCCCCTTTGGGGGGATTCTTTCTCTTTGCGGGGGGCGGCGGGCTTAGACAGGCGGGCAACCTGAACGGGCGGACAATCTTTCGTGGGCGCACATGCGCCCGCCATTGGAATTTGTGTGGGCCAAGCAAAAATGGAGGGGGAGAACGAGGGAGAGTGGGAGGAAGGGAGGGGGAAGGACGAAGGA